CACAGAACTTTGTGCATGGGAATAATATTTAATGCATTTATTTTTAAAGACTTATTTCCTTTGTTGTCTTTAGTGAAGGGAGTAAGAGACTAGGTTTAGCAAGTATTTAGATAACTTTAAGAGATGCTCACTATGTCAATATTTATATGGCATTTAAAAACTAGAAGTAAAATTATGTTTCCTTTATTTGGATTAATCCAATTGTGATTAATTTAGTACCCTCAAAAACGTGCATAATGCCAAAAGAAAAAGATAAACACTAAAAGCACAGTTACAGATACTTTTAAATTGACCTTGGACTAACAGGTTTTAAATTCTGCCTTTCCAGTATCCTAGTTCCAATTTCCAAGCAACATTTTTTTAAGCCAGTTATGCAGATCAGTCCGCAAAGCAAAAAAAATAGCAATTTATCTGGCCTGTATGTTGTGGATAGTGTTGCCACTAAAAAGAATCCAGGACATTTTTCCTTCTTATCTGCAATGTAGCTCATATCAGCCAACCTGTCACAAGATAGTACTTGATATAAACAAGAGATTGCTAAGACATCTCAGTAATCAATATCAGGAAGACTACAGTATGGAAACCCCAACCAGTGCATATCATTTGTCTCAGCATCTATTTCTATGGCCAAATGAAGCATTAATTCAAATCATAAATCTATGGTGATTTAAATCTGGGAATGAGCACCTGCCTGCTTTAATGATTTATTTTGTACATTTCAGTAAGCAGGAGATTTGTCCATATGAACTGACAGGTCACCTTCAGATGCCAGGAGCAGACTGTTTATCACCATGCAGACTAGCGTCTCATCTTAGCAAGTAAATATTAAACTAAAAGAATCCAATTGATTGTGGATGAGGGAGAATGGCAACGTAGTCATATATTTCACTCAGCATACTGATGCCTCACTCGGATCTATCCTGGGGTCCTCACTTCTTCCTAACATGGTCATGCTGTTAGAAAGATGTAAGCTCATGATTTCCACATAAAATAATTATTTATCAGTGTCAAAGATTTCTTTAAACAGTTTTTTGGGACTAATTTTTAAGATTCACATTATGAACTAGAAAGGTCTGTCTGTAACAAAATTATCTTGTCACTTTGCCAAACCAAATCAAGCAAAAACAAAATCTGTTTTCTGCAGCTGTAAGGATTTATTTGTAACCAAAGAAAAGCCTAAACTGTTTAACAGAGCTTGTAAGTCAGATTGTGTAGGAGGTAAAAAGAGCCCTGAGTTGACATCAAAAATGTCACTGGATTTGGACAAGACTAAGTAGCAACAATACATCATTAAGCATCACTACTTCAAAGAGTCAACTGACAGATTCAGGAGAGCAGTAAGTTTGCATTTTGCAATACTGGGCTTGAGATTCTCAAGATTGCTTCTAGAATTCATACCCTTCAATTTTGCTTCCTTGCTGCCTCATGAAAATGGATTCTCCTGGAGGATTCCATACTTTCCTATGGCTGCCTGTCTACTTACCAATCTCACCAAGCCTTAATAGCTGGGCCTGTACTATATGATTTTTGTATTCTTTGAGATAAAATCAAATAGCAAAATCCAAATGATGTAACAGATGCCCCCAGTTTCCTCACAGACCAGCAGTTTAAGAAATAATACGTAGCACAGAGAATAGGAAAACAGGAGGAAGGAGTTGATGACAGTAAACAGAGGAAGAAGGTCATTTTCAAGAAGGCAAGTTTGGAGAAATAGCAACAGCAAAACTCTAACCGAACAATGTGATAAGCAGGCATTATAACAGATAATGTGACAATGTGACAAATGTTAAGCACATATTTTGATTCTCATGATGTAGACAATATTATTTATACCATTTTCTAGATGTGGAATGTTAGGCTCAGAAAGTTTCTATAACTTTCTAATGTTACAGAGTAAGTAATTATTGAATACTTACCAAGAGGCAGTCAATGTCCTCAGAACCAGAGAGGATTGGGGCCATAAAAAAATATGCTCAATTTAACAACTGCTTTGATCTAAGCAAGCTCTGCCCCCATCTTCTCCACAACTCTTTACTCCTTCCAACCTCCCTCCTCTCTCCTCAGACTCACTTTCTCTGCTCTAGATAAATGTGCACTGGGTAGACGTGCTCAGAAAAGGCAATGTTATAAATCATACATTTTTAGAAGACAGTAGCATGTGAAAATAAAATGAAAACAACAATGAGGATTTACTTGTTTGCCCAAATCAGTAAAGGAATCTGCAGTATAAGTGACCTACATGCATCAGGGACTAGCAATGGCACCAATGTTAACACTTCTCAAAATATTAAAACCTTCAAGGAAAATTCAGGTCAATTTCTGCTCCGATTTCAAATTGATGTGGAATGGTATGTGTCAAAATGAAAAAACAGTATAAACTACCAACTAAATACCTAGATGGAAGAAAAATGATCTCTTCCAAGTAAAATTCAAAAGGAAATTGAAATTGTTTATATTTTAAGCTATTAAGATGGCCTACATACCTAAATAATTACAGTAAGCTATAATTTCCTCAGTAGGCAGATGTTATTATATACTATTAAATACTGATGCATGTTAATGTTTAATTATGATCCATGTTCCCCTTATCTTTGGTCTGTTGGTCTTACTAATGCTAACCATTGCTCTACTGTTAGGAAAATTCAAAGGTATTGTTTTTAATATATTTGGCTTTAAATGTTATTTAACCCATTTTAAGAATCCCCTCCTCAAAACACCAACTATCAAGAGCAGTCTACATTAACGGCCTATTCTGAAATTTTGTAAACAATCCTGATTACATTTTGAAATAACTATAGTTTTTAAGTAGCGAATAACTTACATTCCTCCTATTTTACAAGCCAAAATAAAAAACAAAAACAAAAAAAAAACCAAACTTATTTTAAAGCAGTGAATAGCTCTAAAAATAAAAAACACAATTCTTTCTTTTGGCCACCATACTGGTTTAACATTTTTATGTTTTGTTATGGGGTTTCTTTTTGGCTGTACTAGGGTATGAACACAGGGCTCTACTCTTCCCACTGTACCATTTAAGCTACACCATGAGCCCATTTTGCATTAATTATTTTTTGGATACTGTCTCTACATTTTGTTGCTTGGGGTCCACCTCAGACTATGATCCTCCCAAGTAGTTGGAATTACAGGTGTGTACCACCATGTTCAGTCCACATTTAACTTTTAAAAATTAAATTTATGTCTGCAGACTATGACCTAAACAATCCTCTGTCCTCCCAGTCTTCTCCTTAGAAGCATTTAGAAATGCAAACATGGATATTTTTCCTAAGACTATTCAGGTTTTGAGCCTCTCTTCAGACTGTCTTTCACATCTTCACTCTTCCAAAACTTGCCACCACCACTACTCTCAATTGAAACCATTGCTGCTGGTCATTTTCAAAATTCCTTATGAGGTTCTGCTGAAAAGTTCTGTTTTCACCTTTTTACTATAGAAGCTGTACTTTTGCATCACTGAAGCAGTGGAATTTGGGGTTTTATGTATATATACATATACAAATTATTTCCTACTCTAACATTGGTGTCTGCTATGTGTTCCCAAGGAAGGAACTGTTGCGAAACTAATTAATACTAAATCCATAGTGTTTCTTCATATGACTTAACTAATGTCTTAATGGACTGAAACTAGAGAGTTAGTGATTAACTTAAGAAATCAACTGTTAAAATGGTGAATGCAAAAGAGAATTTATTTGAACTATCATAAATTTTTGTGTCTTTCATGAGCACATGTTGGGTGGGACATCTTGCACACCTCTTATAGAATCCACATTTCTCTTGTGAAATTGTATTTTGAACATGGTTTCTGCATTTTAAAAGGAGACAGTACAGTGCAGTATGATAAAAGAGAATAAAATGTTTTACCTTATCAACACCCAGATGCTAAGGATTTCATTAATAAGGAAAGTAATTCACTTTTGAAGTTGCATTTGACAAAGCAAAGTATCCAAACAGATATTCTACAAAGGTAAAAGTGTTTTATTTGGTTTGACTATGACAAATAACTTTCATCTTTCTTCTTATATCAGGAAAGAAAAGCAATCAAGAGAAATTAAAGTTGTATTTTTTAAATGAGACATTGATAATGGTTGCATTACAGAAATACTCAAAATAATGCTTACTCTTGGCATCACAAGAAAACATTAATATTACAGTAGGCCCCTTATCCATGGTTTCATTTTCTGTAGTTTCAGTTATCCTCAGTCAACTATGGTCTGAAAATATTAAATGGAAAAATTCCAGAAATAATTCAGAAGTTTTCAATGACTTTTCTGTTGTTGGAGGTCAAATAGAGAGCCTCACACAAGCCAAGCAAGTACAAGTTTTAAATTTCATCACAATATGTTGTTATGATTGTTGTATTTTTTTACAAATATTGTTGTTCATCTCTTATGGCACCTAAATTTTATAAATTAAATAGTTTAAGCTTAAGTTTATCGTAGGTATGTATGTAATGTAAATAGATGAAATTTGGTGGTACCCATGGTTTCAGATATCCATTGGTTTCTTGGAACATATTCCCCACAGATAAGGGGAAACTACTGTAGTTTGCTGTTAATGATAATAAATTTCTTGATGGATAACATTAAAAGAATTAAAAATTACAACATACAATGTTTGATTTGTGTATAGTTTTCTGTCACACATACTTAATATTTTTAATTTGATTTTATGTATAGTTTTCTGTCAGCTATACTCAATATTTTTGAATTCTGATCATTAAAACTTATTTGTATTGTGAGATATGTTAATTCACTAATCATAGGAGAAGTTGCAGACATCAAGTAGGTCCTAAAATAAAAATAATGTTGCTAATTACTTATTTAGAGCACATGTTGTTAGAAAGTAAAAATGGCTATCTTCAAAACAGATGATATTTTCAAGCTAAAGGTACCAACTTTTTGAAAGTGTAGACAGTAGTTTTGTTCTAGAAAACTAAAGAGTTTCCTAGCAAAGGGATAGCCATCAATTTTCATGAATATAAAACTTACCAACACTTGAATTCATGTCCCCATTTTCAGAGTCTGCTCCATGTTGGTTATTACTGGCATGATAGTTGCTCATAGCTTCTAATTTGATTTTTTTCACCTTCATTGCTTCGGCGATAGCTGCATTGGTAGCAGCAGCAGCCGCTGCAGCTGCTGCCGTCAGACCTTAAAAGAACGAATTAAAAACGAGGTAATTCAAATTCTGATTTTTCATTAATAATGTACTTCATATAACTCACATACAAGCAGGTATTAGAGTATCTGATTTCTTTACGTATCACTCTAATAGTATATATTTATTCTCAACTAACCAATAAAATAACATGGATACAAGGGGACAAATGCTTCCTAGTCTCCCAAATTAATATTAGCAGAAACATAATTCATACATGGAAATGCAGCCAGAATTACCTTTCAAAGAAACCAGTCTGAACATGCCATTCCCTGCTTAAAATTCCCTACAGGTGCCTGAAAGGTAGGGGGGAAAAATCTGAACTGCTGGCTTAATTCACAAGGAGTTTCTCTGAGCATAAACCTTTTATCACTCATTCCTCAGTACTGTACCATGCTATGCTCAAGCCAAGTCAACATGCCACCATTTCCCCTATGTGACAGGCCTCTTCAAGCATCTGCTTTCTCACATGTCATTCCCTTTGTCTGGAATAATCTTGTCCCATGATCAACTTCGATGACTTCCCATCATCCAGTAAAATCCTATCTATGTTATGAGCCTTAATCCCCATCCCACCCCTTCTCCTGGACCATGTTTATACTTCCACTATAGCACACGTCTGTCCAGCATCTGTTTTCCTCACTAGATGGTGAACAACTCATTGGCAGGGAACAAGTACTCATTGTTTGATGTTCAAGAAAAATATAATATAATGATAGTGAATATTTTGCTTCTGCTTGTTAAGAATAAGTCCTGAGTTAAATGACATAAAGTAGTGTAATCATTTTAGTAGCACTATGTGACTAGTCACTATGATCTTTTACAAATTAGGGACTATGTCACAGTACTTAAAACAGCATGTAGCCATTCTAGACCCAGAGTTGCTACCTTTAACCACTATGCCATGATTTTGTCCAGAACACAGCAGGTAGGTGCAGACATGAGATCAGAAGTGTGAGACCAGATCTTGGAGGAGCAGAATACTGAAGCCATTCTACTTTGACTTTAAACTATGTAGAGAGACAGCAGGCAGAGGTTTTTGAGCAGGTAGTGGAAATGTGTGAGCTTTTACAAGTCAATTCACTTCAGCCTGGCATCCATCCTCTGTAAAATGATACATACTGGGATATGTAAGTTACCTCTCAGAATTCCATAACTTTAACAGTCTATGAAAGGACATACATGCTTCCCTTTACATTCCTTCTGCTGCAGGTGCTCCAATACAGTGCTCCAGCCTCTTTGAATTTATCTTTAGAATTCTTTTCTTACTCCCAGTTGGTGGAAAAAATAAGCACTCCTTTTCCTCCTCACGTATCATCACTTCTAATAACTACAACAAGTAACTTCCACCCAAAGAATTATAAGAAGTCTTTTTCAGTGGAAATCTCTGCTATGTATTTTGAGGAGAAGACTCCACATTCCCTTCAGATCAGCACAAAGACGTCCTGACCACTTTCACCCCAACGCAACAAGACCTACAGATTGGATCTTTGCATGAAACACAAGTAACTGACCTTAAAAGGCACTGATCTAAATTCAAAGACTCCATCTGGGTTTGTTCTGAACATTCACTGCCTTTTAAGTCCCGACTTGAACTGATTCTCTCATCTTCCTATGATTGAATTTTCTCCCCAATTACTCATTTCCTTCAAAGATGTTTCAGAACATTTTCTTTCCTGTTCTCTTGAAATCCTCTGTGTGTTTCCCAGAAAATCTTTTTCCCTTGATTTTTGCCTTACTGTCAATGTGAACATCCCATTTGTCCCTTCCCTAGGTTGCTGAATGTTGACCCATCTCCACTTAATGACATTTCTCAGATCTGCAGATTTGTTTCATGCTACAAGCAAATCTTATACGTAGTATTTTAAAAAGTCAAGATAAGCTTACAATTTGAAATACAATTACTATCACTATATAGATTCAAATCAAATTGCATAACGTGAAACATAACTATGCATGATTTGACGTTAGACAAGCCATCAAACCTTGACTATGGTTTCTTCTTCCATGAAACCATTTTAATCCCAATGAGAAAAATGTAGGGATCAACTAAGAAAAAGCTACATGACAAATGATACATCACATTTAGTCAAAACATGGCAGGTCACACATTCTTGTTCCAAGAAAAATCCAAGTCTGAGGATTCTTGTACAATATCTGAGGCTGACACAGCATCCTAAGGTAGAAAAATCATACTTGTCCCCTTAGCCTTTAACTTTGAAAACTACTCTTTGTAATTTTATTATTAGTTGATCTTATTTACTGTACTACTTTACTTTTCTGTCTGGTTGTTTTTCCTAGATTTACATTTCTTATGCAATTCCAAAAGACATGTCCCTCTCTGTGTGTCTCTCTGCATGTCTGTCTCTCTCTCAGACACACACACATGCTGTAACTTAACTACAATACTATTTAATATTCAATTTTTATCTGTATTGTGAACACAGGAAGAAAACTATGACACATGCAAGAGTTGCTAATTTTAGTTCCACTAACTCTCCTGAATGTTTGGTGGGTTTTAATTCTTTAATATCTTTCAAATTCAACCTTTTTTCTCTATTTCCACTGCCCCAGAAAGGGCAAGTGTTCATATTTTATAACCTTTCTCAATTTTCTCTGCTGCCCTCAGTGCATACCTCCATCTTTTCTTCCCTAATCGTGCAATAAATTTTCAGCAGCTTCCACTTTCTCCACCTCCATTCTCCTATCACATAGTAATTGACATCACCCTACAAAAATGAGTATCTGCTCATAGCCTCCAATGACTACTCTTAGGATTAAGTTCAACACTTCATATGGCTGTCAGCGTAGAGTTCCCTGAATGTATGCACAGAATCACCTTGACCTCTGTGCTCCAGATACATAGGCCTTCTTTCATTTCCTGCAGTAGAGTATGTCATTTCTTCTTTCATTTAAGCCTTTACACATGATGTTTCCATTGTGTAGACAAGCTTGTGCTTCAGTATCCTCTCCTGGACCTGTTTATGATCCCTTCACGTAATGGTTTAAATACTATGCCTTCAGAAAAGTAGGCACAGATTCCTGATCCCTTACTCTCTACCTTTCCAAAGTTAGCTCATTGCTTACTCCTTTCAAGAGCTATATCTGACCTTCACCAAACACCCCTAAATCAAAGTTAATGATGCACAGCTTATCATCCTTATAGATGTGAGCTTGCTATTCCTGGCTGTGCCTCAGAACCAGAAATGGACCCTTCAAACCATGAAACAGATAAACTTTATACCATCTCAGATTCTGACTTAAGTCTGAGTTAGAACTTCTGTATCTGCATATTTTAAGTTGATTTTGTTGCTCCACAGTCATTTTCATGCGTAGTCTGAGTAAAGCAAAGCAGTCCCTTGAGGGGAAAGAAGTATAGCTTTTAGGAGTATGGAATTATGGCTAGCTCCTCTGAGGAGGTTATAATACCAAAATTGTAAACATACTTCCTCAGTATAGTTATACTAAACATCTACCACAACACTTGGTACAAATTGTCAGTGAATGAAAAAACACTTTCCAACTTTTATGGGACAAGTATGGTAGTTATTTTGACAACATCAATGAAAAGTAATTTAACACATTATTTTTATGTCAGAATAAATGTGAATAGAGTAAGAGTAGCGAAACTCATTAATTTAATATTAAAGCATGACTCTTCATAGTACATCTATGGGCTGGAGAGGATCACAAAATACTTCCCTTTTCCCCACCCCCACTGCTTTACTGCAGTTTGTTTAGGCTTTGCAATGGCCCTTGTGAATCTCCAAAGAAATTCTCAAATCCAATCCAACTTGCTGTCTCTGGCAAAAACTTAGTTTGTAATCTCTACAAAAGCTTTAGATACAGGTCCTATTGTGCCTTTTCCTAACAAATTTGCCTTAAAAATAATAAAATGACTCAAGCTTTTGGTCTATTATATACAAAAAACAAAAATTATGACATTTTTCTATGTTATAAAAAATTATTTTTGCCACCCTCTGCTTCCATATCTCATCCAAAACTGCCTTATTTTGCAAATTACCACTGCTTTCAAATCTTCCCAATCAAAGCAACTCATTATCTCTTGAGAGCTAGGCAATTTAGTGTTTCTCAAAATGAAAGTTTTTCACAAAATTTCTTCTATTCATTAGAGGCAAAAAATTAAAATTATAGGTAGATATCTAATATAAAACTTGCTCTAAAACTTGCATGGTGTGTCTGAACCACATGGTAAATGCTTACTAACCAGCAGATCACCAGTAGTGACTTTGAAAAGTGTATGTAAGAGCAAGGTGTGGCTGCCCACACCTGGCATTCCAGCTACTCAGGATGCAGAGGCATTAGGATCACGAATTAAAGGCCAGTCTGGCTAAAGTTAACAGTAACACCCTTTCTCCAAAACAGTATTTTTTTAAATTAAAAAAAAAAAAAAAGGGAAAGAGAAGGCTGGAGTCTGTTGCTCAAGTGTTAGAGCACTTGCCTAGAATAACCAAGGCCCTAAATTAAATCCCCAATACTCTAAAATCAAACAAACAAAAAGTGAATATGCTTAAGAATCAACAGGAAAATTTGTTAAAATACAAACAAACTTATCATCAAATAATTCAAGGGCAGTGAGCATCAGAACCAACTAGTTGAAATGCAAAATAACTGCATCAAAAATAATCAATGTAGATAGAAAATAGATTATATATTTGATAAATGAATGAATGAATGAATGATCTCTTACACTAAGGAATGATTAACTCATCTGTTTTATATCACTAAATTTATTTTTACTTATAGTATCTCATACACCAAGACAAAAACATATTCTAAATTAAGTCAAATTTATTATAATTAAATTTTATTTTAAAAGATCCTAAATTTAATTGTGTATCAGCATTGGGAAAACTAATACATATTTAAAATTTTTTAGACACTGATTAATGTAATGGTTTTATTTTAAAACTATGTTTTTCCTTCAGAAAACAATAATAAATCATATATTATTGTTATATTGTTATGCACT